TTCGAAATGGACTCATTTTCTACCTTACATTCGAACCCATTACTTTCGAAAATGTCTCTATTTGATCTAGGATTACTTAATCTGAAGTTCTTGACCGATTCAAGAGTGACGGTAATGGGGGAGGAAAATTCTGTTCCTTACGAGAATAAGACACATCCCCGAAGGGCGAAACTTAGCACCCTTACGTGAGGGGTCATTCACAAGATAAGCCTTTGTTTGATGTCTTCCAGAAATAATGGGCTCAGGCCCCCTACCAAGATAGTTGTGTCTAGACATGCCGATCAGACATCATTAAATAGAATCTAGCGGAACAAATTGAAATTCGGACCGCAATTTTTTCACTTTCCCTAGTGGCAGTTTTCCTGATGTACGGTACGAAAATCCTTACTTATCCTCAGGACAAATCAAGTCGATGAATTTGATAGAAAAGATCTGAGGTTGCAGATCAGGGCTCACGGGAGACATCTGCCGTCGAAGCTATGCACCTAACGGAAGCGACTATGAGCACTGAAGATGCCTAAGACATCCCTAAGATGTCTTCAAGATGTCCCCTCCAGGATATCCAGAAGCATTCGACTGAGGATGTCTTAAAGATATCCCGAAAGGGATGTCTCTAAGATACCGACTGAAGATGTCTAAAAGACGTCTCTAAGATGTCCCGAAGACATCCCTTACGAGATGTCCGAAACCGTCCGAAAGAAGATGTCTTCAGGACATTCTATAAAGACCATGGGACAAGTCGTCCAGTTAGGGACATTCCTGGGATATCACTGTGCTGTTTGGGAGTCATAATAACCAAAATACATGACTTTCATATGCTTGCACAAGCAGCAAAGGAATAAATAAATAAATAAATAAAGCGGCAAAAGCGTATTGTTGAGGGGAAAGTGGGTCCAGCCAGATTCTGCCAGGACAACTTCTAGTTCCTGTAGGGTCTTTTCGGCATCGTTCAGCCTTGCAATCTCAAAATCATGATTGTCAGAATTATTTTCCTTAAATGTTACTGGGAGTATGATGAAATACGGCGGGAGTTAGTTAAAAGAGCGTATCCATCGGGTATCATTGCACATTAAAATTAAGAAAAGAACAGAAATGAGGAAAGGAACCCAGAACAAGGGTGTTGGAACCGGGGATGCATGAGTGGCAAATGCCCCTCCAATATTTCATATGGTGGGGTATCTTTTGCCCCCCCCCCCCCCCCCCCCCCCCCCCCCCTCCCAACCCGCCCCTGAGCGAGGGAGTTACTTTCCGACCCCTCCATTGCAAAAGACGAGAGAAATTCAGGATTGAAACGCTCAAGTCCGTATTGAACTCGAAAATCTAGCCTGGTCTCCTTCCCTCTTTCCAATTTTTTCCCCCCCCCCCCCCCCCCCCCCCTCCACGTCTTAAACCTAATAGTAGTGCGTGTACGCTGGCAAGTTGCGACTAAAGATCCTTCATGGTATCCAGTGAGGTTTGGAGAGTAAATTTAGTTTGAAGCACGGTTACCTGTGGAGAATTGGAGTGGTAGGGTACACTTGATAGGCGCCCAGGGAGTTCTTTTTTGTCTCAGGTCCGAGATCTCCCATCTGATTAGACTTCACTCTTCTCTGGAGTCTTTCCTGGATGCAAAGTCAGTCCCCTTCAGTCATAAGTCTGGCTTGAACCTTTTTTAATGGTAGAACAGTGTCGTTTCACGGATGAGAAGTGCTCGGGAAAGCATTTTTTTTTTTATTTCATAACGAAACCAAAGGCAGCAAAATGTGAAGAAAATTCAGGAATGGAAAACTTCAACGGTGCTGTATCATCGGTTGTCTCCACGGACGAGATTGCACAGAAACCTGTGCACGTTGGTGAAAGTGGCCCTATTCAGTGCAAAGGACTTTGATATGCGGCCACGACTTTCGCACTTGGCCGCGAAAGACGCAGTTTCCTGCCTCGCATGTTGTGAGGCGCGCCGTACGAAGCAGCTGCAAGCAGGCAACGTGGAACCAGCATTCGCGGAAACGGGATTCGGAAGAATTCGACGTTTCGAGCGTCACGAGGCATCCGAGTGTCACAGGGTTGCCGAGTGTCACAGGGTTGCCGAGTGTCACAGGGTTGCCGAGTGTCACAGGGTTGCCGAGTGTCACAGGGTTGCCGAGTGTCACAGGGTTGCCGTGTCTCGAATTTCCACTTTTAAATCGGGATCCGCTCGACGCGTGCACGCGCAGCTCACCGAGCAAAGTCGGAAAGAACGACAGATCGCAAGATCGGGTGAGTCTCGAAACCACTTCTAATTGTTCATGCAAATACTCTGAAATGAAATTCATCTGAGGGGATGTAGAATCCACTTTGAAATCAGTATTGATGTGACTTACAGGTGATATTCTCATAAAAAAAATTTATGGGTCGCCAAGGACTAGCTTTTCGAGGTCATGAGCCCCACACTGGCAATTTTTTTGGAATTGGTTCACCTACGAGGAACAGACGTAGAAGCTGTTAAGAACTGGCTCGTAGGGACAATTTCAAGAGCCCTGATATTCAGAATGAAATAATATCGTTTTTTTGCGCAGGCGATTCACATGAAAATCGTCAAAGCATTTTCTGAATTTCGGGGCTGACTCGTCACATTTGCCCCCCCCCC